GATGAATCCCGAAGAGCAAAATAATCAGTTTTATCCCCAACTTCTTGCCAAAATTACCCCAAAGTGATCGATTTTTTCGGTCGACAACAAGTCACCGTGTATAGCCTAGTGTACGACCGAAGCTTTATGTGAGTTCAAAGCTCGTAAAATGAGCTATGAAACTTGCATACGTTGTTCCGAGCCTGACGGGTGACCCAACTACAATTGCAACAACATAGCCAATAACAAGAATTGATTCATAAAACTATTCAAGAGCTACTAACTTCTCAACATGACTTCTCCGCTCCACTAATATCACTCGGCCACATTTTCGCTTCCTCCCCTCCCATGGAAACTTTTATAGCCGTTGTTGAGAAGGTATTCGTTTACAGTTTCAAAATGAAGCGACCTCTAGTCGATGCTTTGACGTACTCTTCTTATTCAGATCACTCTTCTTATGAGTGTTTAGAATGCTTCAGTGATATTGTTCTAGGCCTTGCTTTTATGAGATATGTTCTTTTGACCTAAACCCTAAACCTATTAAGAATTAATCTCAACTATTTTTATTCACGCTAGACACATCCATTAAATCCAAATTAATCAAACTAAAAAGAATTTATAATAAATTTCAGTTAACATTTTTTAATTGATTCGATTGACAGTTAAGAAATTTTTTGATTTATTCAATTTTAACTAATTTAGTTTAGTTTGTGACTGAATTAATGAATCTAACACTCATAAATCTAACTACAACAATATGATTGTGAAAAATTCTACAATGCACGTCACGTACCGAAACACACCACTAATGCGACACACCGAAACACACCACTAACTAAATTATCCTTATTACATAAAAATTAAAAGGGTAAAGTAAAAGTTTAGTACCTAAATTATCACTTTTATTTCATTTTAGTACCTAAATTTTATTTTTTTTCAAAAACATATCTAACATTTAGTTTAACTTTCAATTTGTTCTCGTCTTTAAAAACTTGACAACAATGTTGATGTGGCATGACATGTCTATTTTTTTATTTTCCACATCACCTTTCTTTTTATTTGTCAGTATTTTTTAATTAATTTTATTCAAATCAATTAGGTGGTGACATGAGTCTTCACTTATGAGAATAAAATGAAAGAAATCATTCCAGTTCATAGTGTAAATTGAACTCAAGACACTTGCATGAGATTCAAAGCACTCAACCACTTAGTTAAACTAGTTTTTTAAGTTCATTTCACCACATTTTGTATTTAAATTATATCGGCGTCACCGCAAAATAAATATTTTTTTTGATTATAAGATTCAAATATGTAATACTTTAAATTAATAACATAAAGCTTTTAGTCACGCAATTATAGTGTGAATCTTTTTTTATTATGTTGAACTTAATACTTACTTATATTATTATTAAATTAAAAGAGTAATTTATTTAATTTTTAAATAATGATATAAGTAAGTATTAAGTTTAGTATAATAAAAAATAAAATAAATATTTTAAAAGTTATAAATATTATTATAAATAAATAAATAAATAATATGATTTAAAAAATTAAATTTTTAAAATATTATATATATATATATATATATTAGAATGATTTAATATAAATTTTATAAAAATATATTAATTATTTAATTATTTTTTATTTATAAATAATATAAAAATAATCTTTTAATTTAATAATGATATAAGTATTAAGTTCAATATAATAAAAAGAGATTAACAATATTGTTGAATGATTAAGCTTTCGGTCATTAATTTAAAGTGTCTCATATTTGAATCTTATAATCATTGGAAAACATTTATTTTATGGTGATACTGTTATATATGTTAAATACAAAATATGGTGAACTTAATACAAATGAATAGCTTAATTCAATGATTGAGTGTCTTTTATCTTATGCAAGTGTCCTAAGTCCAATTCACACTAGTAGCGAGCATGATTTCTTTTATTTTATACTCATAGGTGATTGCACATATAACAACCTAATTGGTTGAATAAAATAATTAAAAAATAATGACAGAAAAAGAGAAAAATAGTGTGAAAATTTAAAAAATAAAAAAATTGGCATGTCATGCCATATCAGCATTGTTGTTAAGTTTTAACGTTGGGGTATCAAATTAAAATTTAAATGTTAGCTATGATTTTGAAGAAAAAAAACTAAAGTTTAGATACTAAACATTGAATTTACCCTTTTAATATTTACTTAATGCAAATAATTTAGTTAGTAAATATGTTGCATTAATGATATGTTTTGATATACGACGTGTACTATAGACCCGTCCTAGAATTGCACGTAACTCTGGGTATGCAAACTAATTATGTACAATACTCTTAAGTCGTACATTGTACAGCCATGCAAAGTAATGATATATAAAACTCTAATATGTAAGCTAAACAAAATAGAGTTAAAATTTGAGCGACCAGCCCGAAAACCTCACTCGATGATAAAATCAACGGTAAATCCGACATATCAAACGACTTGAATTCGCGACACATAATGACTCTGACATTCATATCGACGATAGAGCTAACGACGGTAGACAAGAGAGATAGTAAGGGCAGTGTTGGCGGCAAGGGAAGTAAGGTTAGGATTAGGGATTTGAAATTTTTAGAGATTTGGGGCTTTTTTATAATTTTAGAAAAATTAGGGTTTTTTAATAATAACATTTTTATGCTTTTTAATTTTAAAAAATCAAAATTATATGAAGGCAACATGTGTTATTTAACAGACTTTTTAAACGATCATTACAGTTGAGGCACCTAAAATTATAACGTTCGTAACGTTAGATACCTTAATTGACCTAAAAAAAGTTTAGGCACCAAAAAATTGTATAATTTGGGCACTTATTTTTATAGTGAGTCTTATTTCTACGTAAATATCTATATAAATTTTATTATCTTAAATACAAAAATAACACAAAAAAGATCATTTTTCTTTATTTTTCTCCTCTCTAACTTTCATCTCATTATTCTCTTTTAACTTCTTCATATATAAACAATAAAAGAAAAAAGAAAAAAATATACAAACCCAAATAGCCTTTTAAAGACCACAAATTTAACACTCTAAAATTGAAATCAAATAATAAGACAGTTTGGCGATAACTTTTAACGATAGGTATAGATTAGTTCCAAGTTTAAGTTCATGAAGCATTAGCAATATGTGGCCCTGACTGATTGGAGTTTAAGTTTACATACATACATACACAGAGAGAGGTAAATGAGAAACGAGCTATTTGAGTTTAACTCAATCATAGTTAAGTCAATACTCAATTCGAATATACTCGACTTAAATTCTTAAACAGCCAAAACAAGTTACTTAATACCCGAATCGAAGAGTTCGTAAACGACTTAAAAAATAAAATTTTAAAATTTTAATTTTTTAAATCAAATTATTAATAATATTAACATTTATATGTTTTTTATAGAAAACACAATATAAGATTTTTATATACTTAAAGTTTAGGTTCGAGTTCGTGGTTGAACAGAGTTAGAGTTCGAACTTCAATCAAATTAAATCTAAAAATGTTTCGAGTCCAAGTATTTTGGATCGAGTCAAGTTTTAATTTTTTATTTCAAGTTAGAGTTGTACATATAGGATGACAGAAGCTACCGTTTTTTAATGAATTCGAAGTCTCTTACCTAATTCTAGTTGTCAATCCAACTTCCAATCATACATACACACACAAACATCAATCAAAGCACGTAATTGTATATGTATCAGGGAACGACTGAGCTGTGGAGTGCGTACCCATGGAAATGATAATTAGCTGATGTATGTATGAGTGTGCATGTATATGCAGCAGCTCTAGAAAGAAAATGGTGCAACAAGGTTATTCAAAGTTAATTTAAGCAAAAATGTCCTTGGTCTAGTAACCAGTTTCAGGCTGGCACCATTTCTCAGTTTCGAGCTGCATGCATGATGATGCCATTGGAACCCTCTAAGAGGGTGTTTGGATGGGAGGAATGGAATCCATATTATCCCGTTTGGTTAGTTCAGGAATCTCATTCTCGGTAATGTAAGATTACCAATAGTAGATTTTTTAGGGTATATTACCGAAAATGTCATTACTTCCATTTCCTTAGGTATTGTTAGATTCCCGACGTTTTGGACTAAAATGCCTTTAAATTTTTTTAAAATATCATTTTATTTGTTATTGAATAATAAAAATTCTACGAAAGTTAAATTACAAATTTTTCCTTAAACTATTTTAGATTTATAAAAAAATCTATAATTAAAATTTTATATGAAATTCAAGGGTTAAAATAAAATTTTACCCATTTCATTAAACTTTTTTATATTTTTAATTTTGTAAAAAAAATTATATAAATTTTATGAATTTAAATTTTTTAAAGAAAATATATAAATATTTTTCAACTTATTAAAAAAAATAAATATATAATAAGGATAATTTGGTCAAATATACATTCTAATAATTTTTTATTTATTTAACCAAACACGATAATCTTACATTCCTGCTAAGCCAACCAAACACAAAATACAACATTCCCAGTAATCTTATTCCCTGATAATCTTACATTCCCACTGATAATCTTCCATTCCGTGAACCAAACGCACTCTTAAATGTGTCATTATATCTCTTCCATGACATCATCAAACAAAGGGCACAGTTACGCACAATCACACTTCATTGAAACATTTTGAGCAAAGATAGAGTTTTAACACCATGGGCCTTTATTTTGAATACCATGGAATGGTAAATGACGAACGGTGCTTGAATATTTTATTCCCACATGCTCAATAATGAACAAGAATTCAACTAAAACTAATTAGGATCCACAACAGTACAATTACACAAGAATGTTTCAACTAAATTGCCTACCTATAAAATTCACCCTATGCGCTCCTTTCATGCTACAGCGCCAGTCGGGATGTTCAAACTTAGTTATCCAATCTTCACTATTTCCCATGTAAAACTTGTCCAAGAAAAGAATTCAACTAAAACTAATTAGGATCCACAACAGTACAATTACACAGAATGTTTCAACTAAATTGCCTACCTATAAAATTCACCCTATGCGCTCCTTTCATGCTACAGCGCCAGTCGGGATGTTCAAACTTAGTTATCCAATCTTCACTATTTCCCATGTAAAACTTGTCCAAGAATACAGAGAGCATTGCAGCTGTTACGAAGCCTAAGTGCAAATAACTTGTGAAATGGGTATGGACATTACAAAAGGCACAAAAAAATAAAGAAAGAAACAGTTATACGAGCAGTATACATTATACTTTCGGACCGAACCTTGATTCGGAGATGAAAACAACAATGAGAATGATGGTCCCAATGCCTGAATGAGTATGGAGCTAATGAGAGCAACAATGTTATAACTTGAATTATTGATCCCTCCATCTTGGACTTGGGTAGGGGAAAAAACCAGAAGGTGACTGTGGAAACATAAGACCAGGAGAAGGTGGAGGTTGAGGCCCATGACCTAAAATCCCTGACTGACCCATGGGGGAGAAAGCAAAGTTGGGGCTCAATGGAGGAAATTGAACCCCAGGAGAAAGCAGCCAGTAAGGGTTGGGGCAGGGGGACAACAAATTCATATAGCCAGCAGGTGATGGCAAAAGGAATTGAGAAGTCGGTGAAGGTAAAAGGCCAGGCCCATTCATCCTTGGTGATGGAAGATTGGGCATTGGTGGAACAGAACCACTCATTCGTGGAGAAGGGAGATTAGGCATCATCGGTGGACCATTTATTCCTCTTGGCGAAGGGATTGCAGGCATAAGTGGATTAGGAAGTAAGCCAGAAGATGGTGGAGCATTAGGTTGCCCTGGAACTGGAGGGTGTAGTTGAGGGTGGCCTTGATTTCCAACTGGACTTGGATCTATAAGAGAAGTCTGAAGGTATCGCATATAAGCTGATATAGGAGATTCAGCTGTGTTTGCCCATAGAGCATCTCCAGGAATCATAGGTTGCAAGATTGTAGGCGAAGGTTGTCCATATTGACCAGGTCTAACAAAGCCAGTGTTATAAGGAGCAGGAGGGGGAACTGGAGCCTGTGCATGAGTAGGGGCAGGGGCTGGAACGGGATGAGGAATACGAGGCCGATTGATTGGTGTCAACGGTGGAGGCCTAATCCTCTGCAGCCTCATACTTTGGGGTTTGGGAGGATTCTGTGGGGGCCTTGGCAAAGGATCATTACGTGAAGGCGAACCAGTGAGTTGCTGAACAATGTTTCGGAAATCATTTTTACTAATATTGTAAACCTGAGGCTGAGGGTGCTGCCTAGCTGCATTATTAGCGAAGTTAGGTTGATGCAACGGGCTCTTCCTTATATTCTTGCCGATTTTGTTCACACCAAGATGATCATTAAGCCGATTCTTCGAATTATCCATTTGAAGAAACTAAATTGCAGAGTGAACTACAACAAAGTAATCCTAAATTTTCCAGACACTCACAAAGTCAAAACCATTCAAAAGCTTCTACAGAATATCCCAGAACATTAAAATTCAACCTCAAGCACCTGCGAGAAATCTTTTCACAACAGCAACCTAAACTTCAATACGCAGCAACCAAAAAAAAAACCGACCGCGTAACAGTGTTGACTTTGTCGAGATATCCACGGGTGCAGTAATTAAAAAGCATCAAACTTTGGGATTCCAAATTCAAATCTCCACCAGAAACCAAGTCAACCCCTAAATCTGATATTCAATGAGAGAAAGAGCAACCTTTTCTTCAAACCCTAATTTAAAATCCTTCAAATTTCTCCCTAAGAATTCCCACAGACGCCTGAGTCAGCTTCCTGCATCATAAAGATAAAATGCCCAAACTCAACCCATCAAAACTCCAACTTAAAAAACAAATCTCAAATTAGCAGAACACAACAAAGATCAAACATTTATAAAATAATTAGCCCCAAAAAGAAAATCCCACATCATAAAATTCAATATATTTCACAGCAACTAGATTGAAAGTGCAGGCAAAAAGAGAAAATATAAATATAAATGAAAATGAAAAACAGACCAGGCTTTTTCCTGAAGATCTTCCTCCTCTTTGTAGAAAAATGAAAAGACGAAAAGAAGGGAAAGCCAGAAAGGAAAGTAAACTTTAGGGCTAGCGAGGGATGTACAGCTGAGACTAACTTCTGATGTGTGTCAATATGGAAATGAATCCATCCATTCATCTTCATTTTTTTTGCTTTCTTTTTCCTTCTATGTTGTGCTGTGTGGGTCCAATAATTAGATATGATGAACAGACGTGTAAGTTAAATTGAAAATAATAAATAATAAGGTAAACTACACGTTTAGTATCCTAATTATTACTTATATTTCGTTTTGGTTATTCAACTATTTTTTTAAATCATATCTAATATTATATTTTGGTCACCTGTCGTTAGGTTTGCCCGTTGACTTAATAGAAGTAGTGATATGGCATGTATAACATATGTTTTAATCCTCAAAATTTACACATTTTATCAATTTGGTCATAATACAAACTGATTCAATAAATCCTAAAAGGTTTAGGGACTTATTATGTGAATGTTCTGTTTCCTTCTTATTTCAAAACTTTCGCTCAATTTTGTCACACTGTCGTCCTCGTACCCTAACAAAAAAACTGTTGATTTTAAAACCTAATTAGAAAATCACAACCGCCTTCACTAGACAGACACCGTCTTACCACCCATCCAAAACCTCACCCCGACGAAGATTCGAGCCACACCCTTGATTGCCTCTACGCCGTCAAGTCTCTTATCCCCCTTTACACTACCTCCGATCAATTTGAACCCCGCCAACCTCACACCACACCATGCCTCACCTGAACTTGCATGCAGTGTCCCTCTAATGGCAGATAAAGAAATAATTTCCAAGTTGGGCATACGTATTTATCATATTTATTAATCACGTAAAAAACATTTTCCTGGTGGGCATAGATAAAATTTTAAGATGGACACAACCATTGAAATAAGTAATTATTTGAAAAAAAAAACAAATTTTAATCTGGATAATTGACCACTCTGAATCCTTAATGTATCCGCCATTGTGCACCTATTAATCCAAACCTCCACAAAGTGTAACCACCAATCAAAACCCTGAAAATCCCTTTACTACCAATCAAACCCCTGAAAATCCCTTTAAAACCCTAAACTAAAAACCTAGTTCCCACACATGCAACCCTATTAAAACTTAAATCCTAATAATTAGGGGTAAACAAGATAAAATATATAATATTTTAAGGACTAAAACAATTATTACACAATACCATTTTAGTATCACAATTAAATTTTTAACAGTTGGTGATCAAAACGAAACCAAAACATAAAGTCAAGTATGATTTTTTAAAAATAATTGAATGATCAAAACATAACAAAAATAATAATTAGGGTACTAAACATATAGTTTACCCTAAATAATATTAGAGAGAACATAGTGTCAAAGATGCATTGTGCTTATAAATTATTTGGTTATTTTTTACAGTAATTGTTTGACTTAAATTTAAAAACTAGATTTAATTGATCATCTTTTAGAAGTTTGATCTATTAAGAAAGTTGAGTAGTATTATGATATTCGATTAAAATAGTTTGTAAGTTTAATAAAAGAATTTACTAAAAAATTGAATATACAAAAATATGTTTACACTCAATATGAAATAGAAAAAAGTTTATTAAAATATTAAATCAAGATAAATTTTATTTACTTAATTTTATTAAATTGAAAGCTTAAGTAATAATATATACTCATGTTTAAATTGAGTTTTAAACAAGTTTTAAAAAATTACTTCAGTTATCGATAGAGATTGATTCAAGTGCTAAACAACTTGTTGTCGTTTAAGTAATGTTTTGAGTTCGAGTCCTTGTATATGCAAAAAAATTCTGCAGAGAGACTCACTCACCAAAGCCAGGTGTGCGACGCGGATCGATCCGGATTAGTCAAGACGAAGCCTTAGAACCAGGAGGGTAACAAAAAAAAGTGATTCAGTTTATAATTATTTGAACTATTCAAATTTAACTTAACTTTGATGTTATTATATTAAACAATTATATATAACACTAACTTAAACTCAAACTCGAGTTTAATTTAAATATAAATATTTTTTTATTTTGAAAAAAAATTCACTTTAAAATCATTAAGTAAATGATCACATAATTATTACATAATTGAAATATATAATATAATGTTTTAAAGATAAATGGAACTTTTTATTCTTTCTTTCCAAATTCAATCTCCAACCTATTATGAACACGTCAAAATCAAAATAAATATATTAATAATAGTAAGTAAAATGCATCGTTTTTCAGCATATAAATCATCATAAACCAGTGCCCCATTTGTTGTATATTAAAAATTTTAATTTATTATCAAGATCAAGTTGATATAGTGAGATGAGACATTAAATTTCTTAAGTAATGTCAGGAGTTCGAATCTTGTTATCTATGAATAAAGCAAATTGTGTTGGAAGAGTTGCTATCATTTTTACAGTATCTGATCAAGATTAATCGATTAATTAATTGAATACCAATAATCATACCAAAAAATTTAATTTATTTTAAATCCAATTCTAAGCTTGGATAATTCATTTAATTGAACTCAAATTTAAATTCTTTTAGCATTCCAGTTCCATTGGATTTGATTGGGGAGAGTCAAAGTTTAAATGTAAACGGAACTAGCGTCGATATTACTATCAACTTTACTTTTGTAGTTAAAGTATGTAAGGATGTGGGTCACTCTTCCACGTCATCATTTTGTATAAATTTTTTTATTATCCTCCCAATTCAAAAGATTTTATATTGATTAATTCAAATTAATCCACATCATATATTTATTTTTAATATGTGAATATTTTAACGAGAATTTTTTATCTACATAAAATTTTAAACTCAAAAACTACTTAAACTAATGAAATTTTGTATACAAATTTTGCCACCTCAACATTTGAATTTTTATTCCTCTCATAATGATTTCCGCCTTCTCATCCTCCTTAATAACTGGTGATTTCACATAATATACTATTTGTTTAATGAAAATTTTAAAATTTTTGTTAGAGTCGACTACAACAGTTTATGCTTTATTTTCATTTTAGTTTATCTATTATAAACTTATTCATTCCAGTTCAATATGTTTAAAAATATTAAAATTTAATCTAAAATATTAAAGTTACTGTCTGTTGTTTTAATATTTTGGTTTATATATCTTTAGTTGTTTTAATATTTTGGTTTATATATCTTTTAGGTATCTCTTAATTTTAAAATAAGCAGATAGCTCCCTCTAAAAAGAGAATCATATATTATTTGTATATATATACTTTTATTAAGGTAAATTGATTACAAAATAATATTTATTCTAAATACTCTCAATTATTTGATAATTTAATTATTAAAGTAAGTTTATTCGTGTTTTTATTTGTATATTTTAAAAGCAAACAAATAAGAATATATATACGGTGTTAATATTTGGGTAAATTATGCGAATAGTCTCATATATTTTCAGTTTGACAATATTTTTTTTATTATTTGGGACAAGTACAAGGTAGTATCTATTCAAAGATAATATTAACATTGAATGCTCAAACCCCTGGCATTCATCGTGCTCGAACTCGGGATCTCAAGAAATAACAACGATTTTTTTATCACCGAAGTTTACTGAGGTTCGTGCTTTTTAAGAAAATTTTTAATTATTTATGAAATTAGTTGGTGATTCTTAGAGTCCGTTTGTTTCACTGAAAATATATTTCGAAAAATATTTTCCGTAAAAATAAATTACATTTTATGAAAAACATTTTTTGAAAATCGTTTTAAGATGTTTGGAAGATGATGTTTAAACCCTTTTTTCACTAGTTGATGTTATAAATATTAAATACAATAAAAATATTATTTATCATAAAACTTAATATTATTTTTAAAATATTAAAATAATTTATATATTATTAAAATATTATTTTTATAATTTTATTAATAAAAATATTATTATTGGTATATTTTATTGCAATAAAAATATTATATATTATATTACTTTTTTATTAAAGTAATAGTGTTATATTATATTTTAAAAATATTAATTAGTATATTTGAAATATCTTTATTAAAATATTATTAGATTATTATATTAATATTAAATATATAAATAATATTATTCATTATTAATAATTTAATAATATTATTTCTATGAAATTAATAAATAATATAATTTTTATTAATAATTTATTATATATTATTAAAATAAAAATATAATATCTTATATTATATTATTTTAATATAATTTATTATTTTATTATAATATTAAAAATATTATATTATATTATATTATTAGAAATATTAATAAATATATTTTAAATATTTTAATAATTAATATTTTGATTAAAATGATATTAAAATATTTTATTAATATTAAATTCATAAAATAAAATTATTTTGAGTATTTATTCTTTGAAGTAAAAAGTTCAAAAAATTTATGGAAAATCAGACTGTAAGTTATTTTCCAGAAACACAAAGAAAATTTTGTTGACTAAGAAAATATTTTCGTTGACCAACCATTTTTTCCTCCAACCAAAAAATAAAAAATGAGGAAAACATTTTTCGAAAAATGTTTTACGTGAAACAAACATACCCTTAAATATGTTGCTTTCATTTTTTTTAGCAATGCAATTTGCATTTTGATATGTTCGATTGTATCGTACAATCTACTTTTATTAACTTGCATTTACATGTATGTTTTGGTTGAAAACTTTTTAAAATTTAATTATTAGATTTTTTTTTTAATTTTTGGATTTTTCTTTATTGAGTGTACAAGAATTTAATTGCACTTTCTGTTGAGAGATAGTTTGTTCATTTTTAAAATTAATAATAATATGAACTTCTCAAGTGACAATATTAGTATAAGAAGATTTTTTTTTAAAGATCATAAGTTCGAGTAAATACATCTATAAGATGTATGTGTTATCAATTAATTAAAAAAATATAAACAAATACTAACTCAATCGACCCAGACCCAAGAACTTAAATCAGCCTAAGAATTTTACCAAGTCGAGGCTTCCTCCTTCCTCAAACACCATTGTGGATTATGCAGTTCCCCTCCCCTCATGCTAAATCTCTACATTCAAAATTATAATAATAATAATAATAATAATA